GATACTATATCACACAAACTCAGTGTTTCTCCTGTTGAAATAGTCAGTCATGAATTATGCGTGAGAGTAAATTGGGGACCCGACACAACTCAGATTCTGCCTGGACTTTGCAAAAAGCCAGATTGTACCAGATTTTTGAGTGCCAGTTGAGCCCACTTCTGCAAATTCTCTCCCATCTCAATCTAATAGAAATCACCCAATCGCACTTAAACCTGTTGTTCAGGCAGCTGGGCCAGATTTGTACAAAAATACATAGTATTTGGAAAGCTAGGCCTTCACTGGGGTGCCTTCAAGCTCCCTGTAGACATCTTTCAGATTGGGAACTGGAATCCCAACCATCAATCAGTTAGCATCATCAAATAGGGAGGCCAGAATTCCAGTTCCAACAACTGGTCTGCATAGAAAAGTCGAGATCTGGGGGGAAAACTTGCTCTGCTTGCTGTGATTTCATTATGACTTTGGATTCAGATATTAGAAGAAAATATGAATGAACCAACTCTCAAGACCAGCTGTCAAGCACTTGGCTTATAATCTGCCATCATCCCACTCATCCCAGGTGCTCCTAGTTTGACAGCTCACCAGCTGGTTAAATGTTTGCTTCCTGCACTGCTCTGATTCTTACCCAGGGGCCTGAGGATCTTGTACCATGAAAGGGGACCCCAGCTACACAGTTTGCTGGCTAACATCCCAGTGGTTTGGACTACAATAACTTATAAGCCCTAGTTCTTCCCCCGTCATAGGATGGACACCAGAGCCCTCTCCATGTGAGGTGGAACATAATCTATAACTTTCTGTAAAGAGATGGCATCTGTAACGAGGCATTCTTGCTGGAGGCCTCCAGAAGTCCCTATTCTACAGCCACCTAATATCAGTGTAATGAGCCTCTCACTAGAAATTGTTAAGAGCTCTCACTGACATCCTTGAGTATTATTTAGTTAATGGTTTATTTACAGGAAAGGGCACCATCTTCATGGGGAGAAGATGAGTACTTGAAATACCAAGACAATTGCAGAAGGCTGTGCCCTGAGAGAATGGAAGAACTGGGAAAGAGCAAAGGAAGTTAGAACCACGAGGTTGATGTGAAATGCAGAAAAAAAAATGGTTAACAGAAAGTGTTTGTGTTTATCTAATACAGAACAGGTTCTGATCCCCTTCTCAGGACACATTTCTGTGGCGGCGAAGAGTAAAGCTGAAGGCAGTCACAGTTTGAGCGCTTCCAGTTCCTTCTGATTTCATTCTTTTTTCACTGAGTAATCTTTTGAGGTTAGTCTTCTGAGGTGAATGGAGTTCCTTAGTAGCTTTCCTACTGAGACGTATAATGACCAGCTGTCATCATTATAGTTCTCTTAACAGTTACTCTTCTCATTGCAAATTGGCCTGATTTCTGTTCCTTTTATGGGCAGATTAGTTCTCAGGAAAAGTTCCTGAGCCAAATCAAGTCATAGATTTTTTAGGCTAAATTTCTAAACTCTAGAGCTCTACGGTCTTGTAGATTTCCCAACACACATCTCATGAATATCTACCACAGTATCTTATACTTCAGTCTTTTGGTACCAAGGAATGTTAATTTCTTCTTCACCCTAACTCAGATCCTGGGAGAAAGATGGTATGAACAGTGACCCAAAGCAGCAGAAGAAGAAACTGGCTCTAGGCGTAGCCCAGCTTGCAACCAATATACCTTTCGTCTACCCTCTGCCACATAAAATCTGCGGCTATTTCTGTATATTTCCAGCCCATCCCCACGTTCAGCTTCTAGAAGACACCAATAAACCCTTCTTTGTGCTCGTAAGCTGCCTCAGCATTATCTGGTGGCATCCCCTCTACTTGAACATAAGAAAATTAAATCTAAAGAGATCAAGTGACTCCATCCAGGTCACACAGCATGTTGGTGGTGGAGCCAGAACTGGAGCCCAGGTCCTGTTACTCCAAGCGTGGTTTTCTACCACATCACTTTGCTCCTCTGCATTGCTCTGGTGTCTGTATCTGCTGACGTTGGGGGCACTGTGGTGATATATTTGTCCATTCTTGCATTGCTATAAAGAACAGCCTGAGACTGGGTAATTTATAAAGAAAAGAAGCTTAATTGGCTCATAGTTCCACAGGCTGTACAGGAAGCAGGGTTGAGGAGGCCTCAGGAAACTTACAATCCTGGTAGAAGGGAAAGAGGAAGGAGGCACGTCTCATGGCCAGAGCAGGAAGAAGACAGAGAGAGGGGAGGTGCCACACACTTAAACAACCAGACCTCGTGAGAACTCGCTTACTATCCCGAGAATTGTAAGGGAGAAGGATATCTGCCCCCATGATCCAGTCACCTCCCACCTGGCCCCTTCTCCAACATTGGGGATTACAATTTGTTTTTGTTTTTTTGAGACAGAGTCTTGCTCTGTCACCCAGGCTGGAGTGCAGTGGCACAATCATGGCTTACTGCAACCTCCACCTCCAAAGTTCAAGCGATTCTCCTGCCTCAGCTTCCTGAGTAAATGGGACTATTTTTCATTTATTTTAGTAGAGATGGGGTTTCACCATGTTGGCCAGGCTGGTCTCGAACTTCTGATCTCAGGTGATCCACCCGCCTCAGCCTCCCAAAGTGCTGGGATTACAGGCATGAGCCACCACACCCGGACTGGGTATTACAATTTGACATGAGATTTGGGTGGGGACACAAATCTAAACCATATCAAGTGAATATATGGAGGTGACAGAGGCAAAAGTGAAAGATAAATGACAAAATGGGCTGGTAACCGGAACTGAAATGATAAGAATGCAATAAACAAAGAAGGCACGCTGGTTCTAGTTTAAGTTCACTTGGCTTCTAGATGAATCTATTGTGATGATTATAGAGAGCTCTTCATTACCAGCATAAATGGAAATTAATTCTCTCCTTTCCCTCATATTTTACCTCACTTAAGAGTATGTCCAGAAGCAATAACATGATTTATAGGTGTAGTTAGATCCGGTTTGAGAATAAATGAGAGAGAAAGCAATGGAAATTGCCTAGTCCTTCCTGTCTTGTCTTTCATGAGAACCCAATTCTAACATGATTGCTAGTGTTTAACAGTAAATGTCAGGGAAATAGAAAACTGCAAGAGAAAAGTGATTTTTTGGTGAGGTCTAAAAATACATATACTTTAAAAGAAAGATATGTATCCTGAACTATTGGCCATGCGTGGTAGCTCACACCTGTAATCCCAGCACTTTGGGAGGCCAAGGTGGCAGATCACCTGATGTCAGGAGTTTGAGACCAGGCTGGCCAACATGGTAAAACCCCATCTCTACTAAAACAAATTAAAAAATAGTCCCAGTTACTCAGGAGGCTGAGGCAGGAGAATTGCTTGAACCCCGGAGGCAGAGGTTGCAGTGAGCTGAGATTGCGCCACTACACTCCAGCCTGGTGGACAGAGTAAGACTGTCTTAAAAAAGAAGGAAAGAAAGAAAGAAAGCTATGCTTCCTGAACTATGAAGACAAGGGCCAGTGCATATCCCAGTGGGCTCAGTTGGAAGAAGACTGGTGCAAAACCAGTAGGGAAGAGGAACAGAGCTGGGCAAAGAATGCTCACTGTGCAGGCAGTTAGCTGTCAATCAGCCACCCAGGCACACAAAGCCTTAGTGTACTCACACCACAGACAAGCCTCCTTGTTCCCATCCCCTTTATATATTTCTATAAATATGTATGTACATATATAAATATATATGGCATAAAACGTGCCATTATAACCATTTTTAAATATACAAGTCAGTGGAATTAATTACATTAATTACCTTCACAATGTTGTACAACCATCACTATTTTCAAAAGTTTTCCATCACCCCAGACAGAAATTCTGTATACATAAAGCACTAACTCCCCATTCTCCTCAGCCCATGGTAACCTCTAATCTACCTTCTGTCTATAAATTGAATATCAGGCACTTTTTTTTTTGAGACAGTATCTCACTTTGTTAAGCAGGCTGGAATGCAGCGGCATCATCTCAGCTCATTGAAACGTCTGCCTCCTGGGCTTAAGCCGTCTTCTCACCTCAGCCTCCCAAGTAGCTGGGACTACAGGTGCATGCCACCATGCTGGGTTAATTTTTTTTTTTAGACAGAGTCTCACTCTGTCACCAGGCTGGAGTGCAGTGGCGCGATCCCAGCTCACTGCAACTTCCATTTTCCGGTTTCAAGCAATTCTCCTGCCTCAGCCTCTCGAGTAGCTAGGACTACAGGTGTGCACCACCACGCCCAGCTAATTTTTTTGTACTTTTAGTAGAGACGGGGTTTCACCATGTTGGCCAGGATGATCTCAATCTCTTGACCTTGTGATCTGCCCACCTCTGCCTCCCAATTTTTTGTATTTTTTACAGAGACGGGGTTTTGCCATGTTGTCCAGGCTGGTCTTGAACTTCTGAGCTCAAGCAATCCACCCACCGAGGCCTCCCAAAGTGATGGGATTGCAGGCGTGAGCCACCGTGCCAGCCCTAAGCATTTTTTTTTTTTTTTTTGAGATTGAGTTTTGCTCTTGTCACTTAGGCTGGAGTGCAATGGTGCAATCTCAGATCACTGCAACCTCTGCCTCCCAATTCAGGTGATTTCTCCTACCTCAACCTCCCGAGTAGCTGGGATTACAGGCACCTGCCACCATGTCTGGCTAATTTTTTGTATTTTTAGTAGAGATGGGGTTTCGCCATGTTGGCCAGGTTGGTCTCAAACTCCTGATCGCAGGTGATCCACCTGCCTCAGCCTCCCAAAGTGCTGGGATTACAGGTGTGAGCCACCGCACCCGGCCAACTAAGGCATTCTTAATTAACTATACATACCTCCTAAAATGTAGAAGCAGTAGGAAAGAACAGAACCTGAGGTGAAAAGGGGTGAGGTTATGGATAAAAACTAAATTATCATTTTCTTAAATATGACTTAAATGCTGTTGAAAACCTGTTTTATGACTGAGCCATTTTATCTCCCGAATCAGAGAAAGCAAAATGAAAGTCCCTCTGCTGTGCTAATGTACCTCTTTCTTTTTTCAGTGACCATGCAGCAGGTGGCCAGGACGGTGGCTAAAGTGGAGCTCTCAGACCACGTGTGTGATGTAGTGTTTGCCCTCTTTGACTGTGATGGTGAGTGGGGGCCCTCTGGAGTTAGAAGGGGAAACAGCTTAGCTGCCTCTAGAGACCCTATGTATAAGGGAGCCTTGCAGACAGCATCAGTGTACGAGCCCATCCTCTTCAAGCTACCCCGCTTTTCCACATCAGCAGCTCAGCCCTCGCCATACTGATATTGAGAAATCAAACCCCTGGCCTTGGCTTCTGTTTTCCATTTCTTCTTCTTGTAATTCCAGTTTGCCTATAGGCCCAAATTAATTTATGACCATAAGGATCTTAAAAATGGAAACAAAAATGTCAGCCTCAACTTGCTACTTAGTAGATATGGAGCACTTAAGTATCTGTGTCTTTAGAAAGACAGTACTTACTGATCTCTCCACCTCCAAGGGCACATGCCAGTCTGTCCTATTTCATCTCCATGGCATTCTAGCTGCACACATGGTCTGTTATGTTTGTGGCCACTCTGCTCTGTCATTTAGCCATTCAGGAGATCTGGTTCTGGTTCTACCTTGACATTATTTTTTAGGTGTAGTAGCTGATATACTAATAACAACATCAACAATGGATGCTTACATTTTTTTCAATGCATACTATGAGCGAGAAAGTTAATCTGCTATTTAATCTTCTGACCTAGGTATTGTTATTGACCACATTTTACTGGTGAGGAAACTGAGACTCAGAGAAGTTAAGTAAATTTCCTAAGGTCACAAAGATAATAGTATTTGGGAGGCTGAGGCAGTCAGATCACCTGACGTCAGGAGTTCAAGACCAGCCTGGCCAACATGGTGAAACCCCGTCTCTGTTAAAAATACAAAAATTAGCCAGGCACAGTGGTGTGTGCCTGTTAATTCCAGCTATTCAGGAGGCTGAGGCAAGAGAATCACTTGAACCCAGGAGGCTCACTCTTACGAAGAGCAGAGATTGCACCACTGCACTCCAGCCTGGGCAACAGAGCAAGACTCCATCTCAAAAAAAAAAAAAAAGATAATAGTAGATGGCAAAACCAGGATTTGAACTAAAGCTGTACTGCCCCTCTGTTCTATTTAATGTATTACCAACCTCTCTTACCTTACAGCCAGTATTTGTTGTTCATCAGCCTCTAGAAAGCTGGGCTAATGGAATTCAAGAGCCTGCACAAAAGCTCCAGTGTATGGAGCTTCCCTTCTGGTCCCAGCATAATGAATCACCTCCAGGCTTTTTTATTCCTTAACTTGGTTCTGTGGGCTTTTTAAGGGTAGTTGCAGGTCCTTTTCACCTTCCTATCCCCCCCATAGGACCTTGGATAGGACTTCGCACATAATAGATATTTATTAACTTGAATTATTTATATTATTAAGTTGAACTTGAGTGCTTTAAATCTCTAGCCTTGGCTGGGGCTGGTGTCTCATCACCTGTAATCCCAGCACTAGGAGGCTAAGGCAGAAAGAATGCTTGAGCCCAGGAGTTTGAGACCAACCTGGACAACATAGTGAGACCTCATCTTTACAAAAAATTTGTTTTAATTAGCCAGGCATGGTGGCACATGTCTGTAGTCCCAGCTACTCAGGAGGCTGAAGTAAGAAGATTGCTTGAGCCCAGCAGGTCAAGACTGCAGTGTGCCATGATCACGCCACTGCACTCCAGCCTGGGTGACAGAGTGAGACCCTGTCTCAAAAAATAATATTAAATCAATAAAATAAATCTCTAGCCTATACCCATAAAATTAAGGTGGAACTCAAAGGAAGGTATAGGGCTTGTTTAAGGAGATGGCCTCACTCTCAGGTAGGGTTGGCTTTACTCTCTACAGCTGCCCTGTCCACAGTATGATACTACCAAGGCACATGCATTAGCTACATTTAAATTTAAATTAGCTAGTGGCTACTGTATTGAATAGCACAGATAGAAAACATTTCCCACATCCCAGAGAGTTCTAATGCACAGCACTGCTGGACATATATTAACTTTCTCCAGATTTTTGTTTTTACTCTGATCACTTCTAGGTGGTTTAAATTTTTTCCAAAAATCATTTGTTTTTATTATTTTTATAATTTTTAAAGCCAATATCCAAGAGCTGGTCTGTGAAGTAAACATGGGAATAAATACAATTAGCTTCTGAAGTCCCCCCATTTCCCTAGAAGTCCTGGCTTTTCAGAAAGAGGCTCTGTCAGTATCTACTTAAATCATCTTTGGAAAATTATTTAACATCTCAGGTTTATTTTCTTAATCTAGAAAGAAAAAAGTATGCTTAATAAAAAGCCATTATTATTTTTACCACTACAAGATCTTAGGTCAAAATGCCAGGCCAGGTGTGACGGCTCATGTCTATAATCTCAGCACTTTGGAAGGCGGAGGCAGGCAGATCATCTGAGGTCAAGAGTTCGAGACCAGCCTGACCAACATGGTGAGACCCAGTCTCTACTAAAAAAAGACAAAAATTAGCTGGGTGTGGTGGCACATGCCTGTAATCTCAGCTACTCAGGAGGCTGAGACAGGAGAATTGCTTGAACCCAGGAAGCAGAGGTTGCAGTGAGCTGAGATCATACTGTTGCACTCCAGCCTGGGCAACAAGAGTGAAACTCAGTTCCCCACCTTCCCCCAACAAAAGGCCAAAGGAAAGCCCATAGAGTAGCTCACAACTATAATCTCAGCAATTTGGGAAGCTGAGATGGAAGGATTGCTTGAGGCCAGGAGTTCAAGACCAGCCTAGGCAACATAGTGAGATCTCATCTCTACAAAAAATAAGTTTAGCTGGGCACGGTGGCTCATGCCTGTAATTCCAGCACTTTGGGAGGCCGAAGCAGGTGAATCATGAGGTCAGGGGTTCTAAACCAGCCTCGCCAATGTGGTGAAACCCCATCTCTACTAAAAATACAAAAATTAGCCAGGCATGGTGGTGTGCGCCTGTAGTCCTAGCTACTTGAGAGGCTGAAACAGAAGAATCACTTGAACCCAGGAGGTGGAGGTTGCAGTGAGCCAAGACTGCACCACTGCACTCCAGCCTGGGTGACAGAGCAAGACTCTGTGTCAAAAAAAAAAAGGTTAGCCAGGGTGTGGTGGTGTGTGCCTGTAGTTCTAGCTACTGGAAAGCTGAGGTGGGAGGATCACTTGAGCCCAGGAGTTTGAAACTGTAGTGAGGTATGATCCTAGCACTACACTCCAGCCTGGGCAACAGAGCAAGACCCCATCTCACACAGAAAAAAATGAACAAACAGAATAAAGTGCCAGGGGACGGAGAATTCGATTTTCAAATAGACTTCATCACAGACTCAGAACTGAACTCACAAATCACACATGCATGCCAGTAACATGCGGTTATAGACCTGGTTCATAGGTAAGAAAATCCATTCATAGTGGTCATCTCTGTCCCTAGGGAAGCAGAGGCAACCCCATAGTAGTTTGAATGAAGTGACCTCTTTTTTTTTTTTTTTGAGACAGAGTTTTGCTCTTGTTGCCCAGGCTGGAGTGCAATGGCACAATCTCACCTCACTGCAGCCTTCACCTCCTGGGGTCAAGCAATTCTCCTGCCTCAGCCTCTTGAGTAGCTGGGATTACAGGCAGGCACCACCACACTCAGTTTATGTTTTAACTTTTTGTAGAGAGAACGTCTTAATATATTGCTCATGTGCTCTTGAACTCCTGGGCTCAAATGATCCTCCCCCCTCAACCTCCCAAAGTGCTGGGATTACAGGTGTGAGCCACCGTGCCCAGGCTGGAGTGCAATGGCACAGTCTCACCACAACCTTTGCCTCCTGGGGTCAAGCAATTCCCCTGCCTCAGCCTCCCAAGTAGCCGGGATTACAGGCACCCACCACCACACCTGGTTAATTTTTCATATTTTTAGTAGAGACAAAGTTTCACCATGTTGGCCAAGCTGGCTGGTCTCGAACTCCTGAACATAAGGTTATCCACCTACCTCAGCCTCCCAAAGTGCTGGGATTACAGGTGTGAGCCACTGCACACAGCTTCAGCCGACATTCTTGCTAAGCCAAAATATTCATTACTTTTCAGCCAAGCAAGGCTATTTTTTAACTTTTTATTATATAGCAATATAATATACATATGGAAAGTACAAATTTTTTTTTTTCTGAGACAGAGTCTCACTCTGTTGCCCAGGCTGGAGTGCAGTGATGCGATCTCTGCTTACTGCAACCTCCGCCTCCCAGGTTCAAACAATTCTCATGCCTCAACTTTCCGAGTAGCTGGGATTACAGGCACCCACCACCATGCCCAGCTAACTTTTTGTATTTTTAGTAGAGACAGGGTTCACCATGTAGTCCAGGCTGGTCTTGAACTCTTGGCCTTAAGCGATCTGCCCACCTCAGCCTCCCAAAGTGCTGTGATTACAGGCATGAGCCTGTAATCAGCTTTTGCTGATTTGTACTTTGCTCAGCCTCTAAAGTACAAATATCTTAAGTGTACAGCTTGGTGAATTTTTTAAAAGCTGAACACGTGTACAACCAGCATTATTGAGAAACATCGCATTACCAGGACTAGAGAGCCCCACTTGGTACCTCCAGTCACTTACTTCCCCAAGGGTTACCACTTTTCTGACTTCTAGTAACACAGTTTTACCTGTCTTTGTACTTTATATTAATAAGCCAGGGTTTTGTTGTTGTTGTGGTTTTGGGTTTTGTTGTTTTTTTGTTTTGCTGTGGCATTTCCTGACTCTGATGCTGCCCATACTCTCTTCAGCCAGAAAACATGAGCAGTTTAGGTTTTGGGTACTCTACGGAAGCAAACCATTTATTCCCGCTTTCCACTCTCTTCCAGACCGATCATGAGTAGCGGTAGGTTTGTGGGTTTCCTGTTGTCTTACCACCACCAGTCATGGGCGTCATTCTTTTAATCAACAGGCTCCTGGGTGTCTTGCAAAGGGTGACTGCACCTCTGCTATTACAGCGGTTACTGTTCCGTGTGGCTTGGGTGATCTCTGCTTAAAACAGATCCTCTCCAAAGTCTCTTCCAGCCCTGAGATGCTGACATTGAAGAGGGTGGATCGGGAAAGCATGATTTGATTTTGGTTTTCAGCATGAAACTCCCTCCCCATATCTCCATTGCAGCAGAGAAACTATTGATGCAGTCCCCTGACTCCCATACTCCAGGTGTGCCGCCCTCCAATCCATCCCCACACAGCCAGCCAGAAAATCCTATCCAAAACGGAAACCTGGCTACTTCTTACTCTCCTGCTTCTAGCTTTTTTCCAATGTTTCATTGCCTAGAAGAGAAAGTGCCAACACTTTAGGAGCAATATAGACCCTTGGGGACCTGTCTCCTGCCCACCTCTCTTTTTTTTTTTTTTCCCAAGAGACATGGTCTCACTCTGTCACCCAGGCTGGAGTGCAGTGGCCATCATAGCACACTGCAGCCTTGAACTCCTGGTGATTGCTGCAGTCACCAGGTAGTAATCAGACGATCTTCCTGCCTTAGCCTCCTAGGTAACTGGGACTACAGGTGTGCACCACCATGCCCAGTTTATTTGAAAAAAATGTTTAGAGACAGGGTCTCACTATGGTGTCTAGACTGGTCTTGAACTCTTGACCTCAAGAGATCCTCCTCCCTCAGCCTCCCAAGTAGCTGGGATAACAAGCACAAGCTACCACACCTGGCTCCCTGCCTGCCTCCTTAGTTCTCTTCCTATACCCCTGCCTCTTTCGTGTCCAGCTGTACCTAACTGCCTACTTGTTGTTCTCTGGCAGCCACACTGTCCTGCCTATACCCTTGTTTATGCTGCTTCTCCTTGGAATGCTTCCTGCATCTCAATCCCCTTTACTTGGCCAATTGCTAATCCTGTGAGAGTCTACTCAGGCATCACTTCCAGGAAGCCTTTACTATCTGTATCTGCAGTACCCTCAGCCAGGGTGGGACATTCTTCCTCCGTGCCCCCATAGCATCCTCTGTTTACTCATTAGAGCACTCACCACACTGTCGTAATCATTTGTCTCTCCCACAACCTGGGTGTATTTCAAGGGACAAAGCACAAAGCTCATTGATCTCATTGTTGTAAACACTTGGCACAAGACCTGGCATATACCGTATTTTTATTCAACTTTTATCACACTACACTGAACTGTCACTGAGTCGCAGTTGGAAGTATCAAGGAAGGAACAAACTAATGAATTCTAAGACAAGAGAATTGAGTTTGGCTGTAAGAATGTCTGGGCTTTGGAATCCACTTTGTGTGGACAGCGGAATTTTCTCAGTGGCTTTGTTCCAAGGCCTCCACTTATCCCTGTTGTGTTTGCCTCTTCCTCTAGGCAATGGCGAGCTGAGCAATAAGGAATTTGTCTCCATCATGAAGCAACGGCTGATGAGAGGCCTGGAAAAGCCCAAAGACATGGGTTTTACTCGGCTCATGCAGGCCATGTGGAAATGTGCACAGGAAACTGCCTGGGACTTCGCTTTACCCAAACAGTAACCCCACACCGCAAGAGGGGACCACCTCTCCACCCGCAGTACCCGGGCCCCCTCAGTAGACCTTGCCAGAGCCATTTGGGCGGCAGCTTCTGGCAGTAGTCTCCCTTTCTCCTGGGGATGACCTCAGGACTCTATCGGTTTCCCCTCTTTACCCTTCCCTGTCCCCGTGTTCTGCTGGGCTCTGATTCTGCCCAGTGATTATCCCCATAGGTTCTCAAAAACATGAACAAGTCTGAAAAGCTCAGACATTTGGCAGCCTCAGCAGCACTACCCATTCAGGCACCCTGTGGATAAAGAATGCAGGGAACTGTCCACACACCTGCCAACCCTGGGAAGCATCCAGTTCTCAAATCGTTGTTGCTGCGGATTTATTTTAACAAGAACATTCCTTGCCTTCCCTCCTGCTGGTATTTTAAAGCTACAAGTAGGGAAGATATCTGGCGGGCAGAAAGAAGTCCATGATGATGAATGATGATGAGGATGACCTGGGCACCCTACGCTAGCGTGAGAGGCCTGCACCCCAGGAAGCATCTGTGTTAGTCCCTGGGATGGCGCTGAGGCCTGCTCTAGGAAGGCAGCGTGCTCAGAACACAGCAAGATTCAGAATTTAAATTAGTTGCTTCATGGCTCTCTCCACTCCCTTTTTTCCTCAGAGCCTCCCTAAGATGACTCCAGCGTGACCCTGTGCTTAGTGAGCAGCAGTGATTGAGTTCATGTTCCCTGCAAGTGCCATTTCCCCTCCAGGATAGGCCTCTGAAGCTGAGGCCTGGCTCAGAGCCTGTTTGCCCTCTGTTTTAAACACTTGTAAAATATCACTTTAATTATAACCGTTTGCAATAAACATCCCCAAAGTTCCCCGTATCCTTTATTTTAGGGTCCTCTAGGTCCTTTTCATTTTATGTGGGTTTGAGATCTTGCTGAAAGCAGACCTGTTTTCTTTCTACCAGGGTCTGGTTCTTTCTGAGGAAAAGCTACTTTAGGCACAGACAGAAAGTGAGGGCTTTCGGAGGTTAGCGGTGGCACTATCCCCACACAGGTTGGTTAGCATTTCATTCTGGGTCAAGGTGCACAGTCCTTGCTTGTTCATGTCCCACAGTGCGGTGGGAGTATGTGAGGAATCGTCTGGTATGGTGGACCTAAGTTTTGTGGAGCTTTTTATTTTGCTTTTGTTTTGAGACAGAGTCTCACTCTGAAACCCAGGCTGGGTGCCGTGGTGCAATCCCAGCTCACCACAACCTCTGCCTCCCAGGCTCAAGCCATCCTCCCAACTCGGCCTCCTGAGTGGCTGGGACTACAAGTGCACACCGTAACACCTGGCTAATTTTTCTATTTTTTGTAGAGACAGAGTTTCGCCATATTGCCCTAAGCATTTCCCCATGTGGACCTAAGTTTTAAGAACCATAAGAACCAATGTTGTATGGTGGACCCAATTCTGCCACTAACTCACTCAGTGTGGTCTTGAGCAAGTCATTTCCCATGTGTTTCGTCATCTATAAAATGACAGCTAGGGATGGGCTAAATGAGCCCTGAGGTTTCTTCCAGGTCCAAAAGCCTCTGCTTGAGCTTTTCTCCAGAATGCCTGCAGTTTCCAGAACCTCCAGGTAATGCCTCCTGGCATCTTCTTGGCATGGCCAACACCATAGAACCACCACACCAAAAACTCAGCACTTCCTGTGAGGTGGCTGGCTGTGAATTTGTAAGTAGGGAGTGCCAGAGAAGAGCAGAGGCCTGGCTGTGCATCTGTGGCTCTGCTAGGACGGTACTACCCCGGCATTTACAGAACAGTTTAACAACCTCTTTTTTTTTTGAGACAGAGTGTTGCTCACTCTGTTACCCAGGCTGGAGTACAGTGGCACAATCTCGACTCACTCACTGCCACTTCCACCTCCTGAGTTCAAGAGATTCTCCTGTCTCGGCCTCCCACAGTGTTGGGATTACAGGTGTGAGCCACCACACCCAGCCATAGCCTCACTTTTAACATCCTTTCTGGGATATTAGATTATTTCTCAACGAAGTTGGCCACTCTCGTACCTCATCTGTCTGCCACCTTTCCCCTCTTGGGGTATCCCTGGTATCAAAGCGAATGTTTTGCTCTGCTCATTGCTCCAGGCCTGGGGCATAAGCAAAATGTGAGCTTTTCTTAAGTTTGTCCCAGAATCCTAAAATCACACAGCCTTGGTAGGACATTCATTTCCCTACAAGAGATCTGCTAATTGGCCTGGGTTTGCTAGCCGAAAGCTAGAGCATGGCAGGAGAGGGTCAGGATCTCATGTGCAACACCTCGAAACCCAGGGTCAAGGGTACCCATCACAGGTGCATGGAATTCCAAATGAAATTCACCAGCTCCTTCCTCTGCCTGAGGAAGCAGAAGGTGGTCCAGGTGCTCCAGAAGATGTGACAGCCACACTTTGGCACAATAGGTTAAATGTGCAGGTGAGAGGTACAAGCTAAGTCACCCAGAAGAGGCCAGGGTCCCCCTAAGGAAGAAGTCCTTGGGCAAGGTGACTTGTGAGCAGGCTGAGAGAATTTTAGTAGGCAGTTTTTGATGAGCTGGGAAGCATATGGGAACACACAGGGTGGATTTCTGCTTCACTTTTCATTCAAATTGTTTCTTCTAACCTAGATAGAATAAGCTTCCCCTCCTCCAAGACTCAGCTCATCCAGCACAGTGGTTCACATCTGTAATCCCAGTACTTTAGGAGGCTGAGGTGGAAGGACCGCTTGAGCCCAGGAGTTCGAGGCAACACAGTGAAACCCCATCTCTACAAAAAATTATAAAAATCAGGTGGGTGTAGTGGCACATGCCTGTAGTCCCAGCTAATCCGGAGGCTGAGGTGGGAGGATCACTTGAGCCTGGAGGCAGAGGTTGCAGTGAGCCAGAATCATGCCACTGTACTCCAGCCTGAGCAGCAGGGTGGGACCCTGTCTCAAAAACAAAGAATGTGGCCGGGTGCGGTGGCTCACGCCTGTAATCCCAGCACTTTGGGAGGCCGAGGCAGGTGGATCATGAGGTCAAGAGATCGAGACCATTCTGGTCAACATGGTGAAACCCCATCTCTACTAAAAATACAAAAATTAGCTGGGCATGGTGGCGCGTGCCTGTAATCCCAGCTACTCAGGAGGCTGAGGCAGGAGAATTGCCTGAACCCAGGAGGCAGAGGTTGCTGTGAGCCGAGATCGGGCCATTGTACTCCAGCCTGGGTAACAAGAGCGAAACTCCATCTCAAAAAAAAAAAACAAAAAACAAAGAATGTGCGTGCATGATCTTTAGGTGCCCCACTTAGTTTTAGCTCTGGTTAGAGCATATGCTCTGTAACCCTTTTGGACTCTAAGGCAAAGGAGAAGGTCCAGGCAATTATTGCACCCAGGCAAGGAAGCAAGGACAGCATCATGGGAGCCAGGAGCTAGGTCCCGTGGCTAGGGCATCTGGCTGCAAGCCTTAGCACAGCCCGAGCAGGGTTATGTGCCCGCACAAGAAACAGAACAGGAAGGAGATAGAGTCTGGTTTAGCTTTCAGGCCTCAAGTGCCACCTGCTGGCAAGAAGGCTCATTGTGGACTCACTGGCCTGGAGCCATGGAAAGGGCAGCTACGTGAAGTCCAGCCTAGACTCAGCCCTACTCCAGAGAATAAGCCGTCCCATGGACCTGAGTCGCATGGAGTGGGGTGGAATGAACGTCCAGAGAAGGATCGTAACCATAAAGAGTGACATTAGGGACCTGAATGGAATTGAGCAGAGGAAAAGAGATATTTATGCTCATGTATTGTTAGTTCTCTGTGTCCTAAGGATGGGAATTCTTCCTAGGAATTAAGAGGGTATATTTCACTCTCTTGATTCCACAGCTCTACTTATCACCTACCACAGACCCAAGCACTAAGCAAGGTTTTCAAGGAGTTTGCATTCTAGTGAGGCAAACAGAAAAGAAGCCATAAACTACAGTACAGGCTGCTACAAGAGCACTTAGAAGAGCAGGAGCCAGGCGCGGTGGCTCACACCTGTGACCCCAGCACTTTGGGAGGCTGAAGTAGGCAGACCACCTGAGGTCAGGAGTTCAAGACCAGCCTGAACAACATAGCGAGACCCTGTCTCTAAAAAAAAAAAAAAAAAAAGGCTGGGCATAGTGACACGCACCTATAGTCCCAGCTACTCCAGAGGCTAAGGCAGGAAGATTGCTTGAGCCAAGAAGGTTGTGGCTGCAGTGAGCCAAGATTACACCACTGCACACCAGCCTGGGTGACAGCAAGACCCTGTCTCAAAGGCCATCTAATCCAGACTTGGAGTTCAAGGCAGGCTTGCAGAGGAAGTGGCTTGGTTTTATTTATTTAAAACACTGAGACATAGAAGTTACAAAGCGGGCAGGGGCAGTGTCCAGGCAGAGGCCAGTGTACAAACATCGAGAGGCCAGGAAAGCATGTTTCATTCTGGGAACTAGGGAGTACTCAGTACGGATTGAGAAGTGATTTTGTGACCCAAGAATTAATTAAGGTGGTGGTCATCCACAGACATAGATTCAAAATCCAGTTGGACATATACATATATAAATAACAAAAAATGATTAGAACTGGCTGAGCACGGTGACTCACCTGAAATTCTAGCACTCTGGGAGGCTGAGATGGGCCAAGGCTGGTCAAGAGTTCAAGACCAGCTTGGCCAACATGGTGAAACCCTGTCTCTACTAAAATACAAAAATTTTTAGTAGCTGGGTGTGGTGGCATGTGCCACCAGGTACTTGGGCATCTGAGGCACAAGAATCGCTTGAACTCAGGAGGTAGAATTTGCAGTGAGCCAAGATTGCACCAGTGCACTCCAGCCAAGATGACGGAGTGAGACTCTGTCTCAAAACAAAACCAAAAAAACGCTAAGAACTAAATATGATAATGAAAATACAACTTTTAAAATCTTGTAGGACACAACTAAGGGAAACTTAAAGGCTTTTTAACAAACTTCCATACTTATTTACAGAAAATAGGCTGATAATAAGCTAAGCATCTACCTCGAGAAGTTGGAAAAAGAATGGAATAGATCACGTGAGGTCAGGAGTTTAAGAGCAGCCTGATCAAAATAGTGAAACACTGTCTCTACTAAAAATACAGAAATTACCCAGTCATGGTGACATGCGCCTGTAGTCCCAGCTACTTGGGAGGCTGAGGCAGGAGAATCGCTTGAACTTGGGAGGTGGAGGTTGCAGTGAGCTGAGATCAGGCCACCACATGCCAGCCTGAGTGACAGATACTGCATCAGTTTAAAAAGTAATAATACTATGAACTTTGTACCAATAAATGTGAAATGGATTGTTTTCTAGAAAATATAATTTACAAAAAAACAAAACAAAACAAGGAAACAAAATCTGAACAGATTATAATAAATTGAATCAGTAGTTAGAAATCTACTTACAACAAAAAGTACCAAACCCAGATGGCTTTATATGAGGGAGGAAAAAAAATCAGATTCTGTAGGGCCCTGTAATCCCCAGTAAGGAGTTTGGGTTTTTATCTTATTGATAATTAGAAGCCACTGAAGGGTTTTAAGCAGGAAAATGACATAATGAACTTTGATTTTTAAAATGATGGCTTTGCCTGCATCCAGGTTGGCGTGTGATTCAGGCTGGAGATTTATAACCAGTTTTAAAATGTGGAAAGTGGCCAGGCACAGGGGCTCATGTCTGTAATCCCAGTACTTTGGGAGGCCAAGGCGGGCAGATCACCTGAGGTCAGAAGTTCTAAAGGAGTCCACCAACATTGCAAAACCCTGTCTCTACTAAAAATAAAAAAAATTAGCTGGGTGTGGTAGCAGGCACCTATAATCCCAACTACTCAGGAGGCTGAGACAGGAAAAATGCTTGAACTCAGAAGGGA